CTCTTGGATTCCCGAGGGGGCCATAAGGATTCCCGAGGGTTTCTGGAGTCCGCGGGGATTCTTAACGACACGTTCGGGATTCCAAAGGATTCCTTAGGGATTCCTGACGATTCCCAAGGGATCCCTCAGGATTCCCTTCGGATTCTTGAGGAGCCCTGAAGGATTCCTAAGGATTCCCTAAGGATTCCTAGGGGTGCCCTCGGGATTCCTTAGGATTCCCTTGGGATTCTTGTTGATGCCCTAGGGATTCCTAAGGATTCCTTAGAAATCCCTTAGGGATTCCCAAGGGATCCCCAAGGATTCCCAGAGTCTGCCCTTCGCAGGCCGCCCTTCACAGGCTTCCATAGGCTTCCCCCGATAGGCTGTCCCCCACCGGCAAATTCAGGGAAACCTTCCTTGCCACCCGCCCAGCCAAGAATAATCTACGTTGCGCGCCTCAAATTCACCCTCCATGCTAAAGCAGCAGGACCGCGCACGCCAATAATAATAATTTGAAGCTTTTACTCTTCTTCGGAAATTTCAGGGTTACCTCGTAATTCCAAGCCCCAGGCCAGCCCCAGAAGAATAATATTGCATTTAGTTTTGTTTCAGAACGTATTGAGATTCTTGGGAAATTCGAAGGTAACCCTCGAATTTCCCACAAAACCCAAGAAGAAGTAGCTAATCGATAGGGTTAAATGATAATCAGCGTCCCGTCATCGTTCTCGTCGTCGTCGCCCGCCCAGGCGGTGGTCAGCGGAGCTGGTGGATGGGGGTCGCCGCGGCTGCCGTGCGAAGCCTGGCAGTGGGTTTGCGCCGCTGGCATTCGAGAGGGCAACGAGCGCATGCGATGCTCTCTTGGCACCCTCGACGGCCGCCCCTCATTCCGACATTACAGCAATGAGACGCCATCCTCGTTGGTACCGCACCTGGCGCGAAGCCACTGTGAAGTCCCTCGTGTAGTAGCATCGAATGCGGGTTTCAAGCATGACGTCTGTCAAGCGAACGGTCATCGTTCCAAGGGAGCGGCACAGTTCATTTGGCCACTGTGCTTTCAGCGGCACGAAGCGTTGCAATGCCTGCTGCGCCATCTCGGACGGCTCCAACCCGATGCTGGATTTGGCACCGAGTACCTGGTTCACGCAATGCGACACGGCATGCAATGTGCAGTCGGTGAAATTGCGCTGGTCCAAGAACGCAGCAGGAGGCACCACGGCGCACGGACGTCCAGGATTTGCAGGGGTCAGTGCAGCAATTTCCTTTGTGTTTTTTTTCCGGGGGTGGCAAATGCACGCCGTAACCGCTGGCCCCCGTCAGGGAATCCCCGCGCGGTGGCGGCCCAGAGTGTAGGGGGCGAGCACTGCCGTGTCTACGAGAAATCATCAGGGCGACCCGTCGGGAGCGGTGCTTTCTGCCTCTTCTGGTCCTTGGCCACCTCCACCTTCTGCCGCATCTCCGCGCCCTGGCGATCTGGCGCGGGCATGCAACCAGGGCCAACCGCGAGCTGCGCATCCTGGCGCGCGGCCGCCCGCTGCGGAAACTGCTCCGCAGGCTCGCCATGAGAGCTAGCGGCGTACTCTACAGCCTGGCGAATGCGAGCGGCTTTCTCCTGCAGCAGCTTCTGCAGCCAATCCTCCCGAGTTGCTGACGGTGCTTTGCTGAACTGCCTCGCGACCGCGCCACGGGGGCCTTTTTTTCGACGCGAGGTCGACCTCCGATGGCAGGCGGCGCGCCCAGAGGGCCAGGGGGGGAGGGCAGAGTCTCGTGAAAGGCAAGAGGTTGTTGGTGGGGAAAAAAAGAGGTTTCGAACCCCCGAAGGCCCCTTCGAAACACAGAGCCGTCTAAGGAACCTTGTCCTTACCCCCCTGACCCCCCCCCCAGCGCGCGGCCTAGAGGGGGGCGGGCACATCTGGCGCCGTTGACCTTGACGCGGCTGGGGGCGCCGTTGTTGCCCCTGGCGCACGATGGGTTAGTTCAGTCCACCACCATCTTGTGCCCCCCCGCCACACAAAAAAAACAACTACGGAGAGAGGGGGGTGAGAGTGTGTTCGGTGGTCGCTTTGGGGTCAGTTTCGGGATCTCTTGTGTCCTCGTGTCCTCCCTTTAGTGCCTCCCTGTGGTTCCTCCCGTTGGTTCCTCTCTGGGCCTCCCCAGTGGGAGGTCTCGTGTCCTCCCTTTGGCTCCTGTTTGGGCCTCCCTTTTGGTCCCCTCTTTGGTTCCCCTTTGGTTCCCCTGGTGCCCCCCTTTGGTCCCCGTTGGTCCACCCCCTTGATTCTCCCCTGTGTGCGCGTGTGTGTGTGTGTGTGTGGGGGGGGGGGGCGGCGGCGGATTCTCAAGTGGTCTGCCACAAAGATGTGCATGGCGTCGAGGCGAGAATGCCGTTTCTGAAAAAAGTGTGTGCGGCGCCGAAGCGAAATTTAGATGTTTGAGAAGTAGTGTGCATCAGAGCGAAAATCTGGGGGCACCTTGGGCCAGGGGCACTTTTAATCAGCAGCCCCTTATCTCAGAAACAGCCTCTTTCTAAGAAGCCTTCCCCCCTCCTCCCCCCCCCCCCCTTGTGCGCGCCGCCAACCTTCGCCTTCGCCGCCACGCTGTGTACTTACAGGCACGCGTCGGTGCGGCAGAAGCTTTTCCCGTATTCAGGGGCAACGTCAGGGGGCGGTCTTCGAGGAGTGCCGCTGGCTCGATGAGGAGCCTGAATTTCTCCAAGCCGACGGCGCTAGTGCATCGCCGACGTCGCCGTTGCATCGCCGATGCAACGCGATCTTCCGAACCCATCTACTCGGACCCCATCCAGGAGGCTCTACAGTGGAACCCCATGCCAAGAAATACCCTGCTTGCCTCCAGGGTGCCCTGGGTTTCTTGGGTCGTTCTCGATCGTTCTACGATGGAACATGTGATGTCCCCAGGCCCCGAGACATCAGTGAATGTCCTGGGGTCACAGGGTTGGGTTTCTTGTGGAAGTTTCCTTGTGGTCGAGCTCCTATTGCACTCAGGGGCAACGTTATGGCGGGGGGATAGGCTCAGTGGGGGATGCATCGAGCCTCAATCGCCCATGGATCGCCGATAGGGGCCAGCTGGCCCACCGCACCCAGGACCGCGCGGATTTGCTATCGGGGGTTTAGCGCCGATATACCGGCGATGTATCGCCGATTCCAGATCGATGTTCCCCCCCTCTGAGTTTGTCCCCCTGGCGTTGTTCTTCACGTGGGCTCGATCTGGGCGTCCAGTTCGGCGTGGGTTGGTGACCACGAGTACGTACCCACAAGGCGAGCTGAGCGATCCAAGCGGTGTCATGAACAAAAGGTCCGACGTCGACACGGTAGAAATGCACGCTCGATGTGGGCGTCCAGTTTGGCGTCGGATGGTGGCCGGGGCTGCGTATCCAAAAGGCGAGCTGAACGATCCACGCGGTGTCAATAAGAAGCGTCCACGTCGACACAGACATGCACGCTCGATCCAGGCGTTCAGTTTGGCGTGGGTTGGGGACGGGGGTCCCTAAAAACGCGAGCTGAGCGATCCATGCGGTGTCAGTAACAAACGTCCACGAAGTCACAGTAGACGTGCACGATCGATCCAGGCGTCCAGTTTGGTGTCGGATTGTGACCGGGGGTACCTGCCCAAAAGGCGAACTGAACGATCCATGCGGTGTCAGTAACCAGTGTCGACGTCGACACGGCAGTCATGCGCGCTTGATTCAGGCCTCCAGTCTGGTGTGAGTTGGTGACGGGGTCCCCAAAGCGCGAGCTGCCGATCCCCTTGGTGTTAATAACGAACGTCCACGTCGACACGACATTTCTGTGCTGTACGCGCGATTTGGTTGTCAGGATTGGTGTGGGTTTGTTGCGGGGGGGTTGCCAAAGTGTGGTTGCCTTTGATCTCTCTCCAGGACGGGCATGGCGGCGGCAAGGAGTGCGGTGCCCGAGAACGCCGTCGTTGTCGTCGCCGCGATCGTCGTGGTCGTCGCCATTGTCGTTTTCGTCGGGGTCGTCATCGTTGTCTTCGTCGTCGTCTTCGTCGTCGTCAGCGTGATTGTCAAACCCGCCGCATTTTGCGGCGACTCGGCCCAGCACTCACCGCTGGCGCGCCGAGGGGGCAGAAACCATGTGCGGGCAAGGTTGAGCGGGCCGCAGCTGCACCGTCAGCGTTGTCGTCGTCGTCTCCCCTCCTCTGCTTCTTCGCATTTCCAAACGTGCTCCTCCAGACCCCCCTCCCTGACTCCCGATTTGTTGTACTCTGGTCGATTCAGCAAGTAGGGTGGACATTTCCCCCTTCCTACTGTTCAATCTCCCTTGATGCCGATTTCCGCCCTACTTTCCCGTCGCTGTTTCCGCCATATTTTTGTGGAAATGTCCGCCATATTTTTGTGAGGCGTAAATTTTCGCCATATGATTTGGTATCGGTTTGGAGTGCATCCATGGCACAATTTTAATGAAAGACTCTGACAATGTAGGGCGTATCCAGAGTCAGAGCTGGGTCTGGAGCCACATTCGGGCTCAAGGTTGGCGCGAGCGCCCAGGTTTCTGCCGCCCCTACCCCTCTCCTCTGTCCCTGCACCCCGCCGTGCTGCGCCTTTAGTGGGCCCTGGAAACGGCAGGGCTGTTTGTCTTGCAGGTTTCAAAGAATGTTGCTGAAACGCGAAACGGAGAACCAGAAACGGTTAAACAAGTTGTTCACCGAAACGGTTTGGGCAGTCTTGGGATCCGAAAGACGTTCGGAGCCAGTTCGACAACGGCTCGGACCTGGTAAACTAACCTTGATCTGGACCAGGCCCCTACCAGGGGAAACGGAACAATTTGTGAAGCAACGGCGCCAGAAACGTGAAAGAACGGCGCCGTAAACGGCAAACAAGTTGACAACGAACACGGTAAAATATTGCTTTACCGTTCCCATGGCCCACCATGAGGCCCCGCGCGCCAGGGTGCGCCAGGGTACCATCACGTTCAGGTCTGGAGCCACCCGGGCGCACCCTCCCCGCTGGCGGCGGCGGTCTCCGCCTCCTCTTCTGAACGCACATGCCGATGCTCGCCCTGGGCTCGCGCAACAGGTCGCGGGAGCTGCCCAAGGACCTGGCTTCGCAGGCCCTCACGCCGCAGCAGGCGGACCGCCTGAGCGCCGTCGTGGAGGCCCTGAAGCTCCGCCTCTGCATCTCCGTCGCGGGCGCCCGGGCCCTGCGGGGCCAGCTGGGCGTCGGCGCGGGCGCCCACGACCCCGAGGAGGCCGAGTGCGAGGAGCAGGAGCCGCCGACGCCGCTGGGCCCGCCGCCGCCGCTGCACAGCCTCGACTCGGTGCCGTCGGTCGAGACGCCGGAGGTGGGCGCGAACTCTTCCTCCAGAAGAAGAGAGGGCGGCACACGCCACACGCACAAGCTTCCGGAGCTGCGTGCAGGCTTCTCGCGTTGGCGCTGGGCCCTCTGCCGGCGCGCGGAGCGGACCAGGTGCAGCGCTGGAGGCGCCGACATGGCGGGGCCCAGCGCCGATTCAGGAGACCTGAGCGGAGATCAGAGAGAGTCACCACCCACCAAACCACCCCAACCCAACCCGAAGGCTCAGATTTACCCTCGATTTCCAGTGGGGGGGGATCCGGGAAACATCGAAAAAACGCATGTGGAACCCTTACCCCCCCCAACCCGAAATTCGGGTCTTCGGGTTGGGTTGGGGTGGTCTGGTAGGTAGTCAGAGAGCTCGAGCTCGCTTGAGCCGCGCAGAAAAACGGGTCCGACTGCGAGGACATCTGCGCGTGGGCTGCCCGCGCGAGGTCGCGCGTGGGCGCCCTCGTTTTTCCGGTCTGGCGAGTACCGCGCCGGCGGCCCGCGCAGGTCGCCGCGTGAGGTCGCTGTGCCATCTCGCGCGAGTCCCGCTCTTCGGGCGAAGAGAATTACGGTAGGTCCTTGTCGTGTCGACCCGCGGCGACCCCGCCAGCGGCGTTCAACCTTGAACGCCGGCGGCGGCCCAGAATCGGTCGATGTTGAACGATTGGACGTTGCGGCAGCGGCCGATCGTTCAAGGTTGAATGATCCCTGCGGTGTCAAAAACCAACGCTGGGGTCGGCACGACACGAACCTGCCGTATGCACGTGCACCGATCCTGGCAAGGCCCATCTTTGACCCAGGATCGGTGCATGTGCCCTCCTGGCCAAGGTAGGAGGGCGTATGCACCGATCCTGGGCTCAGGATGGGCCTGGCCAGAGTCGGTGCATGTGCATAGTTCTTTTTCCTCTAGTTCTCTGCGTCGGTCACGTGCCGCTTCTCCGGCCTCGACCTCTGCGGCGCACCACGGGGCACCTTTGCGGCGTCCGAGGGGTCCGCGCGGAGCTCCGAGGGCTCACAGAGGGGGCGCGCACCAAGAATAGCATCTGCTTTTCGTCAGGGTACAGTTCAGGAGGGAAAGAAACACACAGACACAATTAATCGTCGAGTCCCAGGAGAATCTGGGAAAATATGGGCATTGGTCGGGAAGACAGAAACCCAGAAAATATGGGAAAATATGGGGAATATGTTTATTTGTGTGTATTTATTTGTGTGTCCCAGGGCCCCTTTAACAGTCGGGGCGCTGAGGAAGGAGCCCTTTTCTCTGGGGAGGGGCTCGGTGTTCCTCAGTTGTTTTGCAGTTCGCCTTTGGTTTTGCTTAGGGCTTCGATGGGAAATCGAAGGTTAACTTGTGGGAAAAAGGGGCCTCGTTCCTTATTTAGGGTTCCTTAGGTCAACGCCCCGACTGTACAGAGGGGGCGCGCACCAAGAAAGCATCGGCTTTTCGTCAGGGTACCCCGGGGTTCTTTGCTCCGCGCGCTGCGCGGTGACTCCCAGCGGCCGTTGGAGAATTTGCTGCGTTCAGGGTGCTCTGTGAGTCCATCATTGCCGCCTGCATCTCGCGCGCGGGGTTTCAGGGCCGGGTGTCCTGCGAGGGTTCCCTCGCGGCCGCTTCCGCATTGAGTAGACGGGGTCGGAGGATCGCCCCGCATACCTGATGCATCGGCGATGCGACTCAATATGGGGCCCGACTTCATCCACGACGAGGTCGCCGATGCAGCACCGACGTCGCTGATGCATCGCCGATATGTCGGTGACACATCGGAGATGCGGTGCGATCCTCCGACCCCACCTGCTTGGACCCCACCTGGGGCAACGATCCATGACAGCGATGACGGTCACAACGAGATCACAGCGACAACGATAGCAACGAAGACGACGGCCACGACGACAGCAATACCGCTGCGATCGCCATCGCTTCCTTTCCAGGCACGCCTGTGCCGCTCTCTCCCCTTCTGCCCTCGGCGCACCCGCCCTCGGTGCAGCCGCCCTCGGTGTCCACCCGGGGCTCGGGGCGCGCGGAGCCCGCGGTGTGCAGCGCCGACGAGTTCCGGCGGCAGCTGCTGCAGGAGCTGCGGCCGCCGCCCGGCCGGCAGGACGCCGGCGAGTTGGGCGCCTCGGGCGCCGGCGGCGGCCCGTCCCCCCGGCTCACGGAGCTCCGGGGGAGGAGGAGGAGGAGGAGGAGGAGGAGGAGGAGGAGGAGGAGGAGGAGGAGGAGGAGGAGGAAGCACCGGCCAGCCACGCGCCGGGGTGGGGGGAGGGGGGAGGGCTTCTCAGAAGCACCCCTGCCTCTTGGGAGGCGCGGGCCTTCTCTATGGGTGTGGTGCCGGCGCCTTCTGAGGAGCAGCCTCCTTCCAAGGGGGTTGTGCGTCGACCCCGAGTCGCCCATTCATCGCCGGTAGGGGCCCGATGGCCCAAAGCTGCCCAGAAGCGACCGAATTCGCCATTGGAGACCTATCGCCGATCTATCGGCGATGTACCGCTGGTTCGAGGTAGATATTTCTCTCCTGAGTTGGTCCCCCCAACGTGGCCCCTCAGGAGCTCCTGTACCACGAGCTCTGCGCCAGCTCCGCGGCGAGGCTGCGGGAGATCCATGAGGAGATCGTCGGGAGGAGGGGGAAAAGATGCCGACACCGCTGCTCGTCCTGGAGAGCCCTCGCCGCCACGGCCAGATTTTTCTGGAGGGTCTTGTCGGAGTGCACCCGGGGAGGAGCCCGGGGAGCAGAGGAGGCCGGGCGAGGTTCGCGAGGATCGTCGGGAGGAGGGCAGGGTGTCAGTGGCCGGCCGCGACGCTGGGAGCATGGCAGCGTGCTGTTCCCTCGCGTCAGCACCCAGCACGCTGGTGGGTTCCCCACGGCGGCCTGTCGTCGATGTACTGTGCTGACCGCCGCCCCCACCCCCCAGCTCGAGGCACGCTGTGAGAAGGCCGCGTCGCCCGGGAAGGCCGCGGCGCCCGAGACATCCTCCAGGGACGCCAGCTCTCAGAGATTCTCGATTTGTCCGTACCCGGTGTTATCCTCGTCCTGGCTTCATCTTATGTTCCCGCGCGTCAGCACTCAACACGCTGATGGGTTTTCCACGGCGGCTTGTCGTCGATATGCTGCTTTGACCCCTCCCCCATCCCCCCCCACACCCCAGATCGAGGCAGGGGAAGCGGCACATGAGCGTGAGCTTTCTGCGGTCCGCGCGGGCTTCTTGGATCGGCGCTGGGCCCCGTCCAGGCGCCGATCCAAGAGATCCGCGCGGAGCTCCGGGGGGTTAATTATGCAATAAGCAGTCTTGTATCCCTCCTGGAGGAGGCGAGGGACGCCATAGCAGCGTGCCTCGGGCCAGTGGACACAGGGCAGGGCCTGGTCGAGGCCCTCGAGGCGGAGCTCGACAGGCTGCTGTGGGAGCGGAAGGAGGTCGAGCTGGTGTTTCATGCCTGGCTGTCTGGCGCGGAGCAGCTGTGCGAGAGTCTCACGCAGGCCCGCGGCGCTCCCACAACCAGCACGGTGGAGCACGCCCCTGCTGGCGCTCCCCAAGCATCTCTGCAAGCGTCCCCCTGGAGCACACGCAGTGACGAAAAGACGTGCCGAATGATGTCGCTTCGAGCGATCCTTACCCGAGAGCCCGAGGCGGGCCAGGGAGTACGGGGCCCCTTGGGGCCTGGCGGCCGCGGTATGCGGCCATCATTTGTCGAAGACGCGACCTGTCGGGTGGAGGGATAGACTTGCGCCCACCCGAAACAGAGGCACCCACCTGAACATCTCCGCGAACATAGCCAGCACATACTGATGAGCAGACCTTGCAAGACACCTGCACCCTCCAGACGAATGCGCCCATCAAAAATACCTCTGCACCACACCGGCCCCCACAGAGAACGCATGATTGATATTGAAACGGTCAAACCAACCACCCCTGCAAGAGTCCACCCGACTAAGTGCAAGCTTCAAGACGCTCCCATTATGATGCAAATGCCTCTCAAGCCCATCCGCGAGTTCCTCCCCCAACAGAAGTGCACCCACCGAGAGCACTTCCACAGCCACCCCGACTGGAGAGCAGACAGTGGTGAAGAACTCCCGAAGCGACTCTGCACCTCTCGCGGTGGTGGGGTGCTCCTGGAGATGGTTTGAGGGGCGTGTTCCCTGGGTCACCCTCTGCTTGGCATCGCTCGGATGTGTGCATTTTTCCTTCGGCCAGGGCCATCGAGGAGCATCCTTGACCATTTCGCGAAAAAAACACGCACGAAACCGAAAAAAAACAGGAAAAGGACGTCCGAGCGATGGCCAGCGCGTTGCAGCCTGGGCCAGAGAGCTGTTCTTCTCGAGGGCGCGGCCCGAGAGTGCAGTGGTCATCCGGGCGACGCGCGACGCAGCGCAGAGCGCGAAGTCGGGCGACCTGCTTCGGAGAGCTGCTCGCCCTGAAAAGTCGAGGGCATGCTTCTTAGGACGTGGAGCCTCAGAGGTCTGGACCCCTCCTGGCGGACCGGTTTGCCATGGCGCTTTTTCAGTGTCCCCAGGCCCGGCGAGGGCCCCCAGAGGCCCAAAATGGCGAGTTGTTTTACGTCATGACTTTCTCACGTCACGACGTGAGGGGGTCTGTGCTGGCTGTTGGCACGCTTCGAATCCAGGCCCGGGTGCAGATCGCGGCGCGCAAGGCGCAGGAGTCGGGGAAGCCAAGGGGTACCGATGCCGCCACTCCCGGACCTCTGACGAGGTGCGCTCTGACCAGCACCACCAGGAGAGTCCAGCGGCGACGAGGGCCTCAGGGAAGGCCCGAAAAGCCGAGAGCAAGGCAAGGGTACAGTCGGGGCTCTGAAGAAGGAACCCTTTTTCGTTGGGGAGGGGCTCCGTGGTCCTTAATTGTTTCACAGTTTGCCCCACGTTTTCCTTAGGTTTTCGGAGGGAAATCGAAGGTTAACTTCTGGAAAAAAGGGGCCTCGTTCCTCATTTAGGGTTCCTTAGGTCAACGCCCCGACTGTAGCAGTGTGGATGCCTCTTCCTCCTCCGAGGAGGCCTTCCGGGGCGACAAGCTCGCCGCCGACGACGTGCTCGCCCTGGCGCGCGCCTTCGAGGACCACCACCGCGCGCTCGCCGGCGGCGCCGGCCCGGTGCTCCTGGGAGCCCCCGGCGTGGAGGCCTCTGTGGCCGCCCACCGCGAGCGGCAGCTGGAGGCATTCGACGGAGGATCGGGGGCGGAAAAGAGGGGGGTGATGACTAGGGGGGGGTGGAGATCATGGCGGGGGCCATGATGTTTCCCCAGATTTCATGGCGCCTCTTCTTATTTCGTTACGTCCCTGGCCCCCCCGCTGGGCCGCGCACATCCCGCCGGTCATGATTTGCATCCCCCTCTTGGACACCCCCCTCTTGGCCGCTCCCGAGAGGAGAGCTTGGCATCGCTCGGACGTGCGCATTTTTTCTCGGCGAGGGCCATCGAGGAACACGCGTTGGAAGATTTCACACGGCAAACACGCCGCAGGAAGCCGAGAAAGATCCACAGGGGGTGGGCGTCCGAGCGATGGCGAGAAAGGGCGCCGATACAGCCACCCTTGCTTCGTTTTCGCGTTTGGATGCTTTCTTGGAGGTCCTCGGCGCCACGGCTGGATTCGCCTCAAAGTTTTAGTCAGAACACACCCTGGGAGAGGTCTGGATAGTTGCGATATCGGTATATTTTTGGGCTTCGCATACAACGGGCGATGTTGCCTTGTTTCGGGCCCCAGGGCCGTCATAGATCGACCGATCTCGAGAAATGCAGCAGAATAGTTGGGTCTGAGGCTATGGCCGCGGTTTTTGTCGCGGCGTCGCATTCTCGCCGCAACCCCGGATCGCAAGGCACACCTGCTGCACACCGTGCTCGCGAAGAGCAGGGAGTGGCTGCCGCTGCGCAGCAAGGGCACTCCGGGGCAACATTTTGGGGGGATGGTCAGAACCCCCAACAGTGACACGTCGATTAGTGAATTGTCCGTTTTCGGTTCTCGAGAGGGCGCCGCGGCCGTTATTTTCCAGGCTTGCGCCCGCCAGGTTTGGGCCCGAAGTCGTTTTCACGAAACCACGTTTTACGAAAGGGAGGCCTGTCCATCTCCGAATTTGGGGGGATGGTCAGGCTTACGGTAGGTTTGCGTCGTGTCGACTGGCGGCGACCCCAGCGCGGGCGTTCAAGGTTGAACGCCGGCGGCGGCCTAGAATCGGTCGATGTTGAACGATTGGACGTTGCGGAAACGGCCGATCGTTCAAGGTTGAGCGATCCCTGCGGTGTCAAAAACCAACGCTGGGGTCGGCACGACACGAACCTGCCGTAGGGGGGGGGGAGCGCATCGACCCCCAAGTCGCCCAGTGGTCGCCGCGGGGGCCCTGCCCGGGAAGGCGTTGGGAATTCGCCGTCGGGGGCCCGCCGCCGATCTGCCGGCGAGGCGTCGCCGCTTCGAGATCGATGCTTTTCCCGCCCGAGCCGGCCCGGAGGAGGAGGAGGAGGAGGAGGAGGAGGAGGAGGGTCTCCGCCCCCTCCGCGCCCCGCCGCTGGCTTTGTGGGGCTGTCGGGCTTCCGCCCCCTCCGCCGTTGCCGCTGGGCCCCTGATGGGGCTTTACAGTCGGGGCCCTGAAGAAGGGACCCTTTTCGTGGGGGAGGGGCTCGATGCTCCTTGATTGTTCCACACCTTGTCTCTTCCCTTCCGTTTTCGATGGGAAGTCAAAGCTTAACTTGCGAAAAAAGGGGCCTCGTTCCTCATTTGGGGTTCCTTAGGTCAACGCCCCGACTGCAAGGTTTCCGCCCCCTCCGCACCCCGCCGCTGGCCCTTTGGGGCTTCAGGGCTGCCGCCCCCTCCGCCGTTGCCGCTGACCTTTGATGGGGCTTTAGGGCTTCTGCGCCCTCTGCCCCCGCCGCTGGCCGCGGCGGACACGGGGCGCCGCTTGAGCTTGGCCATGCCCGTGGCCCAATAGTAACGAAGATGATGACGGTGACGACTATGAGGAGGACGAGGAGGATAACGGGGAGCATTCGGGGGAGGAGGAGGAGGAGGAGGAGGAGGAGGAGGAGGAGGAGGAGGAGGAGGAGGAGGGGAGGAAGGATGCACCGACTCAAAAGGTTCATTGGGCTCATGTGGCCCATGGGGCACTGTATGGCACACGGACACACGGGCTTCCGTTCGTCCTCCGTGTTCCTCCCCGTCAGCCTGTCCCCAACCCCCAACCACTTCTGGGGCACCAGAAAACCATTTCCGTAAATAGGAAAATGTTGTTCCAGAAGTTCGGATCCGATCACTTTTGGGGACCTCTTGGGGGCCTCTGGGAGGCCGTTTGGGGGTCTCTTGGGGGCATCTTTTGCACCTTTTGGATGCATTTTGGTGCCTCTTGAGGTCCTCTTGGGGGCCACCTGGGGGCCTCCTGGGGAGGAGAACTAGATGTTTGGTTTGTGATCCCATTCTTGGGCCTTGAGGCCCTTTTAGGCCGTCTTGGGCGCCTCTTGGGCCGTCTTGGGGCCCTCTTGGGCCGTTTTGAGGCCCTTTGGGGGGCCTCTCGTGCCGTCTGGGGGCTGTCTTGGGCCGTCCTGGAGTGTCGGTAAGCCGAACACGCGTGAACGCCAACAATTGTCAAAACTCTAGGGACCATTAATTATTTGGGCATCTTGAGGCCCTCTTGAAGGCCTCTTGGGGGCGTCTTGGATGCCTCTTGGGCAGTCTAGGGGCCATCTTGAGCGTCTTGGAGCGATTGTTCGGCGACTCGGGGCCCTCTTGGACAATTTTGGGGCCTCCTGAAGCCCTCTTGGTTTTAAACAAGTGAAGCGACATGTCGCGACAAGACCAAAGAAATTTAGGACATTTTGGTCCTGGCCCCTTAAAAAACTCTGTGGGAGTGAGGACTGAGGCTGAGGGGATTCGGCAAAATACCGGAGGAAACGCCTGGGGGCTCGGTGGCGGAGAATCGCGAACAATGAAAAAAAAAAACGGTTCCTTTGTGGAGCCTATCGTCGATCTATCGGCGATGTGTCGTCGATTCCAGCTGGGCGACGCAGAAAACGGGGTCGATTGCACGGACATGGACGCGTAATTTCCCCGCGTAAGACCGCGCGTGCGCGCCCTCGTTTCCAATGGCGCGCCGCGCTGGCGGCCCGCGCAAGGCGCGGGGAAAGGTCGCTACATGCCGTCTCGTGTAAGACCCGCTTCTTTGCGTGGCTCAGGTCGACCTCTCCCCTCTGGGACGATCCCCCCGCTGATTCGGCCACGTGCAAGGGGGGGCAGGGGGAGGGGGGAAGGTCTCTTAGAAGGAGGCTGCTTCTTAGAAGGCGCCGGCCTCACATCTCCAGAGAAGGCCCGCGTCTTCTAAGAAGCAGCCTCCTTCTACAAAAAACCTTCAGCCCTCCCCCTACCCAGACACTTTTTGATCTGCGGGGCGAGAGCGAACCTCTCCCGCTAGAAGCTAGGCGGGCTACGCACAGCTTGAATTAGGGAGACAGGGCACAGGAAGGCGGGGCCTCAGGCGGCCAGAGCGGGTGGGGCCCGGGGAACAGGCGGTGCCGAGGTGGATGTGCAGGAAACGGTACGCCATGGACAGGGACCGAGGGCGAAGACCCGGAAGGCCCCCCTACCCAGACACGCGACGTCCTGATGTTCCCAGTACGCGGTCCCCGGGAGTCCCGCCCCGCTCCCCGGATCCAGTCTCTCGGCTCGAGCCGTTTTTTGACGGCCCCAGGGCCCGGCGAGGGCTCCTGGAGGCTGAAAAAAGCAAGCAGCTTTCCGAAAATAGCAAAACGAAAACCTGCTTCGGGCGATCGCAAACATGGATCAAGTAGGGGGCCACGTGCGAACCCTACCCCTGCCCCCCACGATTTCTGAGGGGGAGGGTGGGGTTCACTTCGCTCGGGAGCTCCCGAACGAAGTGAACCCCACCCTTCCCCTCAGAAATCGTGGGGGCAGGGGTAGGGTTCGCACGTGGCCCCCTAAACATGGATCAAGGGTGCGTGGATTGGCGACGGGCCCCGTCTCCGTGGGAAGCCGTGGATCTCCGCCGCCGGACTCTGGGCGGCGCGGGCCGCCTTCTGGGGAGAGCGGCCCCCCCGATCCACGGATCAGGCGACCGGGCGCCAAATCCGTGGATCGCTGATCCACTAGGGGGCCACGTGCGAACCCTACCCCTGCCCCCCACGATTTCTGAGGAGGAGGGTGGGGTTCACTTCGCTCGGGAGCTCCCGCGCGAAGTGAACCCCACCCTCCCCCTCAGAAATCGTGGGGGGTAGAGGTAGGGTTCGCACGTGGCCCCCTATCCATGTCTGCGCGCCCCCGAGTTTTGGCCCCCAGGCTCCAGGAGCTTCTCAGAAGCGGCTTGAGCGGGGAAGGGGGCAGGGATTTCCGGGGGCCGCGTGCAGGCCCAGGCGAGAGGAGGGCGCAGAGGACGGCTTCGGCGGCCACTCGAATATCATAGCTCGATTTCTGCGCTTTGGGAGCAGCCTCCCACGGACCATCGAGTGGCCAGGACCGTCTCTGGTGCGGGCGATGCACGGAGAAGGGCCATCCGTGCGAGGTCTCGCAGGCCTGAGTGCCAACCCGTGTGGTGAATACAACTCTCGGGGGCGGAAAAAGAGGGGGGTGATGACTAGGGGGAGGTGGATATCATGGCGGGGGCCATGATTTTTCCCCAGATTTCATGGCGCCTCTTCTTATTTCAACACGTCCCTGGCTCCCCCCCTGGGCCGCGCACATGCCGCCGGTCATGATTTGCACCCCCCCCTCTTGGACACCCCCCTCTTGGCCGCTCCCGAAACTGCTGCAGGCCCTCTCTTGCGCGCCCCCGACCGGCGCTGCCCCTCCAGTCGACTAGACGTATAAGAGCGACCTTTCGCCAGAGTGACCTCTGGTGCGGGCCCAGAGGTTGACACCAACACCAATATCGGCCTTGTGCCTCCACCGAGGGAAGAAGATCCCGGTCTCGGTGATGGTGGTAATATTCTGGCTTCCAAGGTGGCCGAAAGATTACCACCAACACCGAAATCTATGATCATCTTCCCCCTGTGGAGGCAACCCCCTGTGTTGGTGTTGGTGCCCATTTCCAGGCCTCCAACTTTGGTGCGGGCCCAGTGGGGCCCCCCGATCGCCGAACGCGAGGGGGCGGTGGCGTCCTGCGCGCTCGCGCTTGGCCCCCCCGCGGCCCCCAAAAAGCCGCGCTCCACAGGTCGCTCTTGCCCAGGGTCCCTCCGCCGTGTGGCCGACTCCAGGCACCATGAGCAGGCGCTGGGCCGGGCGCGCCGCGGCCGCGCTGCTGCACCGGAGCTTCCACGCCGCGCTCCTCGCGCTCGCGGAGGGCGCGGCGGAGGGCGGCGCCGGCGCGCCCGAGGCCGCGGGGGCGCTGGAGGCGGCCGGGAGCCCCGCCTGCTCGTGGCGCCAAGCTCGCAGAGCGGATTTCGTGCGGGAATAACGAGAGGATGGGTTCGGGTGCGACTCCTGGGAGGTCAGATTCTGATTCAGCCCTGGTCCGGGATCCGGCTTGATCCCGGCTGGTCCGGCTTCATCCCGCTGAATCCCGCTGAAGCCGGCGTAGTTTCGCTCAGTCCGAGGCCCACTCCGGCGTAACAGCCCCCCAGCGGGGCTTAATCCTCCCTAATCCTTCCGGCGAAGACCTCCCAGCAGTTGCCTCCGAAGACGGGCCTGGATAGTCCTGAGGAGGACTTCGTTCCGGGTTTCGAGGTGGATTTCGCGCGGGTGTTTTTTTCGCAGACCTAGAGGTTGACACCAACACCAAGATCGGCGGTGTGCCTCCACCGAGGGAGGACGATTCCGATCTCGGTGATGGTGGTAATATTCTGGCTTCAAGGTGACCGATATATTACCACCAACACCGAAATTTAGGATCATCTTCCCCCTGTGGGGGCAACCCCCTGTGTTGGTGTTGGTGCCCATTTCCAGGCCTCCAAAGGTGGATGTCGTGAGGATGTTTTTTGGCCAGGAGTGAAGACTAAAACAGATCCACGCGAAAGGCATCTCGTTTTTCAGCCCCGCCTTCTCATGGCGCCGACCTCGCAGAGCGGATTTCGTTCCGGATTTCGACGTGGATTTCATGCGGATGTTTTTTGGCCAGGAGTGAAGACTGAAACAGATCCACGCGAAAGGCATTTCGTTGTTCAGCCCCGCCTTCTCATGGCGCCAACCTCGCAGAGCGGATTTCGTTCGGAAAACGAGAGGATGGGCCTCGAGAGTCCTGGAGGATTTTGTTCCGGATTTCGACGTGGATTTCGTGCGTCTTTTTTGGCCAGGAGTGAAGAATAGAACGAAGCCACGCGAGATTCACTTCGTTTTCGAGCCCTCGGGGGCAATGATAGGGGGGGATAGGCGTATGGGGGGATGCAGCGACCCCCAATCGCCCATTGATCGCCGATAGGGGCCTGATAGCCCCAACCTGCCCAGGAAGGTGCGGATTCACTATCGGAGGTCTATTTCCGATCTATCGGCGATGTATCGCCGATTCCAGGTCGATGTTTCCCCATGTTTCCCCCCCTATCCTATCCCCCCCTATCGTTGCCCCTCGATCCCGCCTTCTGCCGTGCCGCGCCGTCAGGCCAGACAGCGATGCCCTGAGATCCGACGCTCCCAGAAAAATTGAAGCGGGTGGTTTTGGCCGTTTTCGGCCTCTGGGGGCCATCGCCGGGCCTCGGGAGCGTCAATGAACGACTCAGGACGAAAAACTGGCCCCAGAGAAGTGTCCAGACCTCTGGGGCCCACGCATCGAAAAAGTTGGAGCAGCTGGATGTCTGGATACAAGTCGGTCGTTGAAAGTATGTATTTTTGGATTCCCAGACCCCGGTCTACAGTCGGACCAAGGAATAAGATCGAGGTCCGCTCGGGGAGGTTACCCTGACGTTCTTCGTGTTTGTTTGATGGTATTGAGCATCCTGGGGGAGGGTACCCTCGAATGATGTTATGGTTTTGAGTTATTTGGCCGGCATAGGGTGTCATGTTCTTGAAGGATGTTCTTCTGATCTAGGTCCGACTGTATTGTTGGATTCTCAGATCCCAATCTACGACGAGCACCTCCCTACCTCAATAATCGCCATGCTTCTGTTGTGTATTGTTACTATCTGTGAGGGCTTGGCCCCAAGCTTTTTGATCCACCCTCCCACTTCCTGTATGTTTGACCTACTTCTTCCGACCGACGTGTAGGGCATTCCTGCTGAGTTGTACTGTGATTGGGGTTGGACAGTTATGGCTCCCTCCTTCCCGTTCCCGCGTCTCTGCCAGAGCTGTTTGATCGCCCGCACAAGCCCGACTCAGACAGAACGCTCTGCCGCCGTCTGGCTTCAGCGCTGGGCCGGGAGCACGTCCACTGTGCTGATTTCGACTCTTCCGGCCCGACTCGATTTCGATCGTTTCCAGTTCTGAGTCGAGTCCATTCGGACTCCGATGCGGACTTCTTCGGCTGCTCCTGGCTTGGCCGCCAAGTTCCACCGATCCGATTCACTTCGATGATAGTTTATCCGACTTCACGATTCGATTCTGGGTTCTCCTGATAATGTGCTATCTTTGTCCACCGCCTGCGGTCGAGGCATTTCAAAGTAAACGTGTCTTTCCAGTGAGCCCCTAAGTAGGGCATCCCTGACATTTTGAAGTCTGTCGGGCCAACTTCAGGGGCTGGACAAATTCCGTGGCCCGTCTTGGAAGCCATCTTAAGGCGCCTGGACATTCTAGAGAGCGCCAGGGAAGCGCCAGAGCGCCCAGGGGGCCTCGGGAGAGGAGGCTGGTTCGACCGAGCGCCACCACTTGGTGGCAAATGGCGGCTCAAATTCAACACCTGTCGCCTTGAGGACTGGCCAGAAAATTATACACTACACGTTGTCCTGTGGCGTTTCTGCGAAGCCGCCCCATGGGACAGGGGCCAAATATTTTGCTGTAGATACGCGCGTTTCCCAGGCGGTGCGGGAGGCGCTGCGGGACTTCAGACCGCTGAAGTACGACAAGGATCAGGGGAGGAAAAGATGCCGACACCGCAGCTCGTCCTGGAGAGCCCTCGTCGCCACGGGTGGATTCTCCCCGCAACTTTTGGCAGAATGCACCCCCGGAGAGGTCTGGGGAGTAGCGGTATGGGTACCATCGCCTCTGCAGCTGCGGATAAAAGGGGGGCGGCGGGGTCGTCGGGCGTGCGAGGCTCTGACGATGCCCGCCGCAGGCGCCGATTTCTCACACATCTCACAGCGTGCCCGGCGCCGGCGCCGAACTCTCGTCTAAACCATGTGGGTGGGCCGCGGGCGGGTCGCTGGCGGGTCGCGGGCGGGTCGCGTGCTGGTCGCGGTTGGGTCGCGGGTGGGTCGCGGGTGGGTCGCGTGTGGGTCGCGGGCGGGTCGCGGGTGAGTTACGCGCGAGTCGTGGGTGGGTCGCGGGTGGGCCGTTGGAGGGTCGCGGGCGGATCGCGGGCGGGTCACGGGCGAAGACGATGACAGACACAACAATCATCTAGGGCTGATTGCTTACGTGTCAATCTCCGAGGGCGCGCCGCTGGATAACCCCAAAGGGGGGGGGGGCTTGGTACCGCCCCCCCTTCCCCGATCCGTCGTCGGGGACCCCCCCCTTCCCGGTCCGCCGTCGGAGACCCCCTCCCCCCTCCCCTCCTTTCCCAGTCCGTCGTCGGGACCCCCCCCCCCCCTTTGGGCTCGAAACTCGAACCCCTCCCCCCTCCCCCCCTTTCGCCACGCCGTCCTCTGACTCCCGAAGCCGCCCCCCCCTACCACACCTAATCCTTATCGTCACCCTAACCCCAGACCCTAAACCCAACCCCTAACCCTAACCCCAAACAGTAGTCGATACTCATTACTCATTATTCACTATTCGCTACCTACTCACTGCTTCCTACTCACTATTCCTTACTCACTACTCATTTGTTTCATTATTCTATACTCACTGCTCACTAGTCACTACGCGCTACTCAGTGCCCGCTGCTCACTATTGTATTTACTAAACACTATCCGCTATTCAATACTCACTACTCACTACTTCAGTACTCACTACTCTCTACTCGCTACTCCCTACACAATATTTACTACTAGCTACTCCCTACCCGGTATTCGCTGTTCAACTCACCACCCACTACTCCCTACTCCCTACTCCCTATTCACTACACACCTCACTACTCATTACTCACTAATTACTACTCACTACTCACTATGCGCTACTCCCTATTCGCTATTCGCTATTCAATACTCCTTACCACCCACTAGTCACTACTCACAACTCACTAATCACTACTCACTACTCCTCACTCATTACTCACTATCCACTATTCACCACTCAGTACTCACTACTCACCATTCACTACTCACTACCACTACTCACTGCACACTACTCACTACTCACGATTCACTATTCACTACTCCCTCTTAGCTTTTTACTACTCGCGCCCCCCTACTCGCTACTCACTACTCACTACTGCCTACTCCCTATTCACTACTCACCATTCACTACCCACTACTCGCTTCTCATTACTCTCTACTCGCTACTCAAGTTTCACTAGTCACTACTCACTACTCACACTATCACTACTCACTGTACAGGAGTCACTATTTCCTACTCACTACCGTTAGTTTCTTCTCACTACTCACCACTCGTTTCTACCCACTACGCACTACCCATTACCCACTACTCTCTACTCACCACCGACTACTCACTACTCACTACTCCCCTACTCACTACTCACTATTCACTACTCATCACTCACTGCTCGCTACTCACTATTATCTACTCACTACGCACTATTCACTGCTACTCGTTACTCACTACTCACTACTCACTACTCGTTGCTGTCTACTCACTACCCACTACTCACTATTCCCTACTCCATACTCCCTGCCCGCCTTCTCTGGCGAAGCAAGGAGCAGCGGGAAAGGCGCAAAGGGGGGGGGGGAGGGGCGACCCCCCCCCTCCCCCCGTTTTCCTTCAAGGGAGGGGGGGGGGGGGCGAAAATGGAGGGGTTCTGCGACGCCCCCCCCCCCCTTTCAATTACAGGGTGATCCAGCGGCGCGCCTTCCCAATGTCCCATGCAATCGACGCCCGCCCTCTTCGTCTTTGATCGCAAGCGAACGCGTGTAATGTTGCATGTGGCTCTGCAGCGCAATGCACAAACTCTCGCGCAAGCGAGCGCGGGGAGGTGACCACGGTCATCCGCCTGCGTGCTCGCGTAGAGTGTTGCTTGGAATAGAAAGGTAGCTGTGCTGGTTTTGAAACGGAAGTGAACACTTAGCGGTGGTCGATTGGATTTCCAAGTTTACGTGTGTCATCGTGTAAGTGTTTTTACAGCGTAATGCAGAAAGCTCCGCGCAAGCGAGCGCGGGTGGGGTGGCCGTGGTTACCCGCCTGCGTGTTCGCGTAGGACAGTGTCACTTTGTACTGTCTGGAATAGAAAGGTAGCCGTGCTGGTTTTGAAATTAAAGTGAACTTTTAGCGGTGATCATCAGGATCGGTCAAATAACATCTGTAATCTTGTATGTGCTTCTGCAGCGCAATGCTGAAAGCTCCGCGCAACCGAGCGCGGGGGGGTGACCATGGTCACCCGCTTGCGGGCTCGCGTAGAGCACTTTGTATCACTGTGGATGGAAGGGTCGCCGCGTTGATTTGGAAACTAAACGAACCCTTAGTTGTGATCCTTGTTATTTCCCAGCTAACATGTGCTTCCACAGCAATGCAGAAAGTTCCGCGCAAGCGAGCGCGGGGAGGTTACCATGGTCACCCGCCTGTGTTCTATCTAGCGTAGGGTACTGTGTTGTCTGGAATAGAAAGGTCGCCGTGCTGGTTTTGAAATTACAATGAACTTTTAGCGGTGACCGGTTGGGTTTCGTAGCTAACATGTGTCATGTTGCATGTGCCTGTGAAGCGCAATGCGAAAAACTCCGCGCAAAGCGAGCGTGGAGGGGGTCCATGGTCACCCGCCTGCGTGCTCGCGAAGTCGGCGTGCTGGTCTTGAAATTCAAGCGAGCCCTTAGCAGTGATCGAGTGGATTTCCAAGTTACCGCGTGACATGTTGCATGTGCTTCTACAATCCAGTGCAGAAAGCCCCGCGTAAGCGAGCGTGGAGAAGTGACCGAGGTCACTCGCCTGCGTGCTCGCGTGGAGCACCTCTCCATCGTTTGGAATGGAAAGGTCGCCGTGCTGTTCTTGAAACTAGAGCGCGCCCTTAGCGGTGATCGATTGGATGCCCCAGCTACCGCGCGTAATTCTCATGCGTTTTTACAGGCAAGCGCAGAAAGCTCCGCGCGCGCGAGCGCGGGGGGTGACCATGGTCACCCACCTACGTGCTCGCGTAGTTCACTCTGTATTGTTTTGACAGTAGAAGTCGCCGCGCTGATCTGGGAACTACAGTGAACTTTTAGCGGTGATCGATTGGATCTCCGAACTAACATGTGCAATTTTGCGTGTACTTCTACAGCGCAATGCAACGAGCTCCGCGAGTGACCATGGTCACCCGCCTGAGTGCTCGCGTGGAGTATCCTCTATCGTTTGGAATGGCGAGGTCGCCGCGCTGGTCCGGGAACTAAGGTGGGCCCTTAGCGGTGACCGGTCCGATTTCCCAGCTAACATGCGTCATTTTGCATGTGCTTGCGCAGCGCAATGCAGAATGCTCCGCGCGAGCGAGCGCGGGTGGTGACCGCGGTCACCCGCCTGCGTGGTCGCGTGGAGCACCTCTGCATCGTTTGGGGTGGTGAAGTCGCCGTTCTGGTCTGGAAACTAAAGTAAGACCTGAGCCGTGGTCGATTGGACTTCCAAGCTGCCATGTGTTGTTTTGGATGTGCTTCTGCAGCGTAGTGCAGAAAGCTCCGCGCAAGCGAGCGCGGGGGGTCCGTGGTCACCCGCCTGCGTGCTCGCGTAGAGCACTCTGTATTTTTTGGAATGGAGAGGTCGCCGTGCTGGTTTTCAAATTAAATAACCCTCAGCGGTGATCGATCGGGGTTCCAAGCTAACATGCGCCATGCTGCATGTGCTTCTACAGCCCAGTGCAGAAAGCTCAGTGCAAGCGAGCGCGGGGGTTGGCCATGGTCACCCGCCTTCGTGCTTGCGTAGAGCATTCTGCATAGTTTGGAATTATAAAGTCGCCGTGCTGGTTTTGAAACTAAAGTGCACCCTTCGCGGTGACCGACTGGACTGCAGATTTTGGAATGGAGAGGTCACCGTGCTTTTCTGGAAGCCAGGGTGAACCCGCGGCGGTGGTCGATTGGATTTCTTAGCTGGCACGTGTCATTTTGCTTGCGCTTCTACAGCGCAGCGCAGAAAGCTCCGCGCAAACGAGCATGGGGGGGTGACCGCGGTCACCCGCCTGCGTGGTCGCGTAGAGCACTCTCTTTCTTTCTCTTTCTATTTGTTGTTTCTTTCTTTCTCTCTCTCTCTCTCTCTATCTCTTTGTATTGCTTGGAGCGGAAAGAGCGCCAGTCTTGTCTGGAAGCTAAAGTGAACCCTTAGCGGCGATCGATTGGATTTCCATGCTAACATGTGTCATTTTGCATGTGCTTCTACAGCGCAATGCAGAAAGCTCCGCGCAAGCGAGCGCGGGGGTGTGACCGCGGTCACTCGCCTGCGCGCTCGCGTAGAGCACTGTGTGTTTGGAGTTGAAAGATCGCCGTGCTCGTCTGGGAACTAATATGAACCCTTAGCGGCGACAGCTAACATGTGCAATTCCTTGGTGCAACTCCTTCGTAGAACTCCCTGGGGCAGCTCCGCAATACAAGCGCAGCTCCCCAGTGCAACTCCCCAGCACAACTCCCCGAGACAATTCCAGCGCACCAGTGCAACTCCCCTGTGCAACTCCGTAGTGCAACTCCCTCGTACAATCCCCTAGTACATTTCCCTAGAACAAGTGGTAGTAGTACAACTCCCTAGTACAACTCGTTAGAATTATAACAATTCCCCAGTGCATCTTCCTAGTGCAACTCCCCGGTGCAACTCCCGAGTGCAACTCCTTGAGTGCGACTCCCTGTACAACTCCCTAGTGCAACTCGAACTCCCTACTACAACTCCCAGCATGACTCCCTGGTGCAACTGCCAAATACTAGTGCAACTCCCCAGTGCGACCACTACTAGAGTGTTGCTGCATTGCGCTTGCAATCTGGGCCCTCGCGCTTTCTCTCCCCGTTTGCGCCGGGGGGGTGGGGCCCTTCGCGCGGGCAGCCCCGCGGCGGAGAGCTCATTCCTCTCCCGGAATTTCAGGGGGGGCCTGGCCCCCGCGCTCGAACCCCCCGCTTGGGACTTGTTCCGCGGAAGCCGGGTCCAGACGGGCCCCCAGGTGTCTTGCGCGGGAGTCGCCTGGGCCTGGGCGACGCAGCAAAGGCGACATCTGCAGCAACGACGATGAGAGAAGCAGCGACGGAACAAATAATGTGAATATGGACCCAAAAGGGCTTTGAAGAAATATCACGAGATTACCCCCGCCGCCCCAAGATGCCCACCCCCGTCAAGCAATGGCCCCGATACGACCCCAGAGCAACCTTGCGGCCCTTAGAGAATGCCGAGACGAACCCGTTGACTTCAGCGCGAACAGCCGCGCGGCCCCGACGTTGCTCCGAGGCGGCCCCGCGAAGACCCCGCGAGTCCGAGGCGACTTCGAGATTGCCCCGAGATGGCCGTCTTAAGCCCTTGCTGACCCGAAGATGGTGTCAATATGGCTCCAATGTGACTCCGATGCGTTTCTCCCTTCTCTCCTTGCTCATGGCTTGGGCCGATAGGACTGATGGGGGTGCTGGCCCTCCGCCCCCTCGTCATCGCCGTCTTGTTCCCCCCCCCTCGCCCTCGTCGCCCTCGTCGTCGCCGTCGCTGTCCGCCTGCCCTCCTTGGCCCTGGGCGCAGCAGAAAACCGAATCCCGAACGCAAGCCGAATCCATCCATTCTCTGATGGAAATGGCAGCGGTAGATTGTAGATGACTATGGCGACGCGCGTGACTACAGCGGTCGCGATATTACGGCGCGAAGAAAAAATGCCGGCAGCGGCTCAGCCGCAGCTGCGCGACTTGCCGGATAAGGGCGGCACGAAAAAAGTGTTTGTGCGTGAACTTCTACGTTCACTTTTGACGCCAGGGTTTTTTGGTGGGATACGTCGGTCCGTTTCGGCTTACCCCCAAGGGGGATCTGACGGCTGCATCGGCGCCCCTCCCCTTGGCGCTGTAAAAATTGTTGGGGTTTGGCGCAGGGGGGGGCAATGTAGCTCGGGGGGTGCCAGGCGCCCGTAGATCTCCCGGGGGTAAGCCAAAACGCAGGGCCTGCACGTCCCGCCGCGGGGGGAGTTGTTACTCTTCTCTCCCCGCTCGCTCCCTGCCGCCGCCTGCCGCCGCCGCTTCCGCAGCTGTAAGTGGAAGGATCGAGGCGCGGGAGTCGTGCCAGGGGCGCGTCCCGCGCGCGTGGGGAAAGAATGTGCCTGGGCCGTCGCGTCGTCGTCGTTCCTTCCCCGTTTGCCCCCGCATCCAACTATGCCAGCTTAACGGACTATTGAGTATCAAAAAGCATGTTTGATATACCCAGCTTGAGCGACATCAATATCTTGGCACCATCATTGCATCCCACTTTGGCCAGAAACCGTATCCCTCTGGCGAGTGATTGACACGGGTGGCGGGGACGCGTGCGAACGCCGCCACTTGGGGCCTTCGGTGGAGCTCCCTATGGGGCAACGAAGCGCGTGGGGGCTTTACCGAAATGAGTGGTGGAGGCGCGTGCGAACGCCGCCACTGGGGATTTCGGTGAAGCTCCCTTTGGAACCGTGCAGCGCGTGATGAGGTTTGTCGCAATGGGTGGGTTGGGCGCGCGTGGGCACCGCCACTTGGGCTTTCGGTGTAGCTCCCTTTGGGGCCACGAAGCGTGTGAGGGGTGTGCCGACATGTGTGGCACCTGGACGCCGTCGTTGTGGCCTTCCGTGAAATTCCCGATGGGGCCACAAAGCGTGTGAAGAGTGTGCCTTAATGGGTGGCGGGGGCGCATGTGGACACTGGACACCACCGTTGGGACCTTCGGTGGGGCTCCACGCGCTTCATGGCCACGTAGGGCTTACGTGGCCATGAAGCGCGTGAAGGGGTGCGCCGAAATTGGTGGTGGGGACGCATGTGGGCAGAGCCACTTGGGCCTTCGGTGGGGCTCTTTTGGGGGCCACGAAGCGTGTGAGGGGTGTGCCGGCATGTGTGGCATGTGGGCACCGCCATTGTGGTGTGGCCTTCGATGGAACTCCCTATGGGGCCACGGGGCGTGTGAGAGGTGTGCCGACATGGGTGGCGGGGGCGCATGTGCACACCCCCCGTTGGGCTTTCGGTGGAACTCCCGTTGTGGTCAGGAAACGTGTGAGTGGCGGCGGGGGCGCATGTGGACACCGCCACTGGGGCTTTCGATGGGGTTCCGCATGGGGCATCGAAGCGTGTAAGGCGTCAGCCGGAGTGGTGGCGGGGACGCGTGTGGACAGCGCTACTGTGGTTTTCGGTGGAGCTCTTTTTAGGACCACGAAACCTGTGAGAGTTGTGCCGAAAATGGTGGCGGGGACACTTGTGGACACAATTACCAGGGATTTTGGTGGCGTTCTCTATGGAATCACAAAATGTTTGAAGGGTGTGCCAAATTGGGTGGCGGGGATGCATGTGGACACTGCCACTGGGGCGTTCGATGGAATTTCCTGTGGGACCACGAAGCGTGTGAGGGGTGCGCCGAAATAGGTGGCGGGGACGCGGGTGGGCACCGCCTCTTTGTGCCTTCGGTAGAGCTCCCTATGGGGCTACGAAGCGTGTGAGGGGCGTGCCGAGATGGTTGCGCGAGGGGCAATGGTAGGGAGGGGGGGGAGGAGGACGAGGAGGCGGAGGAGGAGGAAGAAGAGGAGGAGGACGATGAGGAGGAGGAGGAGGAAAAACAGGAGGAACAGGAAAAACAGGAGGAACAGGAAGAGGAGGGGGAGGGGGAGGAGGAGGAAGAGGAAGAGGAGGAAAATGAGGATGAGGAGGAGGAGGATAATGAGGAGGAGGAGGAGGAGGGAGGAGGAGGAGGAGGAGGAGGAGGAGGGGAGGAGGGGGAGGAGGAGGAGGAGGAGGAGGAGGAGGAGGAGGAGGAGGAGGAGGGGAACGCCGGGCGCCGTCTTTCCAGAGCGAGGACCCAACACCACAGGACTGTTGGGAAGCGCACGGCGCGAGGCCTGGGAGGGGCACGCACGGTGCGAGGCCTGGGAGGAGGAGGAGGAGGAGGAGGAGGAGGAGGAGGAGGAGGAGGAAGAGGAGGAGGGGCACGCACACTGAACACATCCTGGCAGAAAGGATCCGACCATACGCAGCTTCGGGCATCGCTTTCGGGTGACGGCCCTCGGCCGCCGGGGCCTGCGGTGGAACTCCCTTGTGGGGCCACGAAAAACGTGCGAGGTGCATGCCGCATTGGGCGCGTGTGTGCCACGCGGACGCTGCCGCGGGGGCCTTCGGTGGAGCTCCCCGTGGGACCACGGAGCGCGTGAGGGTTGTGCAGTCGGGGCGCTAAGCAAGGAACCCTTTTCGTTGGGGAGGGGCTCCGCGTTCCTTCATTGTTTCGCAACTTGCCTTAGGCTGTCCTTAGGTTTTCGATGGGGAATCGAAGTTTAACTTATTGAAAAAAAGGGGCCTCGTTCCTTATTTAGGGTTTCTTAGGTCAACGCGCCGACTGTACCGGATGCGGCGCATATGTGCCACGCGGACGCTGCCGTTGGGGCCTTCGGCATAGCTCCCTGTGGGCCCACGAAGCGTGTGAGGGGTGTGCCAAAGTGAGTGCGGGTGCGCCACGCGGGCTTTGCTGCGAGGGCCTTCGGTGGAGCTCCTTGTGGGGCCACGGAACGTGTGAGGGGTGTGCCGAACTGGTTGCGGGGACGCCACGCGGACGCTGCCGCTGGGGCCTTCGGTAGAGCTCCCTGTGGGGAGCCACGAAACGTTTGAGGGGTGTACCATGCGGAGGGCAGAGGCAGGGATGGGAGGAGGGAGGAGGGGGGCAGCGGGAGGGAGACGCGGGGCGCTGTCTCTTCAAAATGGGGGCCCAACACCACAGGATGGTTTGGACAAAACAGAATGGGCACCCGGGGGGAGCAGCGCGATTTTTTCCTTAGAGGCGCGAGTTCAGGCACAGGCAACGAGCGTCCTCACCGCGGATGCCCGCTCCAGGCACGCGCCCAGGGATGGCGTACGGCCGCTCGGCCCCCTCGCTCTGACCGATGCCGCTGCTCGCCCGGGAGAGCCCTCGTCGCCTCGGCCGGATTTCCTTCGAAATGCTCTTCGGACTGCGCCCGGGAGCGAGTATCGCCTCCCAGGGCCCGACGCGTGAAAGCCCTCCAGCTTCGGCCCTTTCCTGGTGCCCGAGACAATCCTTCTGGTGATCAAGGCTAAAGCAGGTTGGAGCATCATAACCCCAGGGGCAGCCCGCCGCCCCAGGTCGGGAGCGGCCAAGAGGGGTGTGTCCAAGAGAGGGGGGGATGCAAATCATGGTCGGCGGCATGTGCGCGGCCAGGGAGCGGCGGGATGGGTCAGATGTTTCTGCCCCGCCGGAGGACTGCAACTTCCTGCTGTACTTTTCTGGCAGGCTGGGGCGGCTGCTGGCGAGGCCCCCGCGCCCAGTCGCGGTGGTGCTGACGAGCTCCCACGGGGCGGGGCACTTGCAGGAGGGAAAAAAACACACAGACACAAATAAACATCGATTCCCCAGAAAATGTGGAAAAATATGGGAAGTGGGGGGAAGACAAAAACCCCAGAAAATATGAAGAAAAAATGGGGAATTATTTTATTTGTGTGTATTTATTTGTGTGTCCCAGGGTCCCTTCATTCTCGAAGAAGTCGCCATGGGGGAACGGGTCCTCAGGTTTTTTCTCGTTTTTGGCTTCCAGGGGCCTTCAGAAAACGACTCAGAATGGAGATTTGGTCCTGGGTCGAGGCCTCGGGGTCCAGGACCTGTTTCCTTCAGGACACGTTTCCCCCTGATAGCAACGAAGAACAAATTGTAAGCTCATGGGTCGGCGGCGAAATCCGAACCTTCCACCCGCCGATCAGCGATGTGGACAATTCGATGGGCGGCGTGGGTAATTCGTGCTCGGAATTCGTTGAACACTTGGCCAAATCCGAACCCTACCCCCGCCTCCTATCAGCTAGGGCGAACACATGGTTGATGGGGCTAGGGTTTGGATGTCGCCACCCAATGGTGAATGCCGTTTTTCCTTCATGGCATTGCGCTATCAGGAAAAACACAAACAACACACACTGTGGGACAAAACAACACACTGTGGGGAAAACACACACACTATGGGAAAACACACGCTGTGTATTTTTCCCCACACACGGTGTGTTTTCCCCCACTGTTTTTTTTGTTGTTTTGTGTGTGTGTGCGTTTATGTGTGTGTGTGTGTTGTGTATGTGGGTGTTTTTTGTGTGTGTGTGTGTGTGTGTTTGTGTGTGTGTGTTTTCCTCATGGCGTTAGCGCTATAGAGGGTTGCAAGTGGTAGGAAATGGCCATCGCAGAATCAGGGGTGCGGGGATCCCGAGACCGCCCCGCCAAGCAGCCGTTTCGCCTGAGTTGCTTTACACCTGAATTCACCCGCCTCGAACGTATCCCTATCCCAAAGATATCCTAAGATTGGCACGCCAAAAGGCGATGACAATATTAGGGATTCGCCCTCCAAAAAATAAAGACTGGCATCGTGATGAGGAGATGTCCAGCATAGAGATAGGGATATGTTCCAGGCTGGTAATGAATTCAAGCGTCGTGGTCTCGACTCAGTGTCAGCAGCATTTCTGGTCCGAACGGCCACGATCCTTCGGAAAAAATGAATTTTCCCCAGCTGCATCTTTTCTTATCAGAGCGTGAATTACCTACCCCGCTTTCGCTTCCAGGCAAAACCAAGCCACACCACGCGCCTCCTCGTCAAGCGGCCTGACCAGTACAGGCTGCAATTTGGCGTCGTTTGGTATCTCTTGGAAGCGAGGGTGGTCAACAGCGAGGTAGGTTTGTTTTCCCCGTATTCACTGGCTGACCTCCTCCTCTCAAGGATCCGCAGGACGTGTGTGAGCCCAAGCGTGCGTGTTACCCCGCTCGGGTCCGCCGATAGCGCACAGCCTGTGCCGGCTGTGCCGGCCCTCTTTGCGCCGCCTGCGCCGCCTCCTCCTCCTCCTCCTCTCCTCCTCCTCCTCCTCCTCCTCCTCCTCCTCCTCCTTCTCCTCCTCCTCCTCCTCCTCCTCCTCCTCCTCCTCCTCTCCTCCTCCTCCTCTCCCCCTCCTTCCTCCTCCTCCTCCTCCTCCTCCTCCTCCTCCTCCTCCTCCTCCTCCTCTGGCGCAAACACACGTTCCGAGGATCATCGATCCTTGGCCCGCCTCTTCACCTTTGCTGCTCTCTTCGGCTGCGCCGTTGCCCACGGGGACTCCAGCCGCAGAGACATGGCCGTGGGAAGGGCCAGAAGGGAGAACGCCAGAAGGTGCAGCAAGGCCAACCGGCGCCAGGCCGCAAGGCGAGCCAGCCGATCTACAGAGGGATCAAGCAAAAGGGCAGCTTGCAGGCACGGCAGGGCGCATTGGCAAAGATCGCCTGGGAGAGAGCCCAGACGACCTGTACAAAACCGAAAAAAAATCAGCGGCGCCAGCGCGCGGGAGGCAGGGGCGACCCCGCCACCTCGAAAACAAAGTGCTCCGCCTCGCCTCGGCGAGCGCCGCTCTGGAAATCCGCCTTCGCCAGCTGCTTTCACAGAGCCAGCTATGGGCGTCCCTCCGCACGGATCGGCCCTCGGCTCGGACAGCGCGGTGCCATCACGGCCCTGCAAGGCGGTCGGCCGAGCCTACCGAGGCCAGCCAAGCCGCAGCTCGCAGGCACGTCGAGGGCAGCCGTCGGGGCCAGACAGAGGAGCCCTGACGAAGAAACACAAACAGCGGCCAGACCGCGATGCGGGCAGGCATCGGGGCGACATCCGAGGCCGTGCCTCTGAAGACGCCCAACTAAGCAGCACAAAGCATAGACAGCGCGGCGTCTGCGTGGCACCGCAGGGCGAGTCGGCCGATCCCTCCAAGGACCAGCCAACGTCGCAGCATGCGAACCCACAGGACTCCACGTCGGGGTCAGCCTGGGAAGTCCCCAGACGACCAGAGACGAGCCAAACGCTCGAAGCAGCATCTGCCTGCCAGAAGAAGAGCAGGGCGATCCTGCCCAGAGAGAGAGAGAGAGAGAGAGAGAGAGAGGGACAGCAGCACCGCCACACCTCGGCGTGCGCTGGTCTGGGGGGCCACCCTCGCCAGCTGCCTGCACAGAGCCAGCCATGGGCGTTTCCCCGCAGGGTTCGACGCTCGGCTCAGACAGCACGTCGACCGCGCGGCTCCGCTGATCCCCTGCGAGGGCCAACCGAACTCGGGACTTGCAGGGCGGCAGCGCCAGAGAGGCCGTCTGGGAGAGAGCCCGCGCAGCCCGAGAGGGGCCAGCACTCCCGAGGCCGTGACTCTCTGAGAATGGCCCGAGCGTCGAAGGCACCGTGGGCCGCTCAGGATCAGCGCAGGGCGCGATCCTGGCGGGGCGCAGCACATTCGGGTCGGACCTGGGCGGCGGCCGCGACGGGGGAGACACCCTCAAGCCAGGCCAGAGCGGAGCCAGGCCCGAGAGCATGCGCGAGCAGCCTGCGGACCCGAAGGGATGGCCCGAAGCCCAGGAAAAGGAGCGCGCGGCATCCAGCCGATCCCGAGCCCGACTCACCACCCCATGGGCATCCCCCGAGACAGATCACGCAGCCTCCTCCGCACGGAGGGAAGCTGCCACTCTCTGGAGATACAGCCGGGGCCCTGAAGAAGGAACCCTTTTCGTTGGGGAGGGGCTCCGCGTTCTTGAAGTGTTTCGCAGCTTGCCTCAGGTTTCCCTTATGTTTTCGACAGGAAATCGAAGGTTAACTTGTGGAAAAAAGGGGGCTCGTTCCTTATTTGGGGTTCCTTAGGTCAACGCCCCGACTGCACGTGCGGAGGTCAGGGGGGGGCGCGCGGAAGGACCCGCGCAACCCGAGCTAGGGCTGGCGGCCGATGCCGTAGGGGCTGCGGTGGCAGCCACGAGCGCAGGATCACCCCGCGCGGCTGCGGCGTTCGAAACGGACGGATCAGGGGGAGAGGCACCTCCAACCAGAGTAGGACTCGCACCCAAGGTTGGGTCTCCTCCCGATCTCTGCTGAAACAGGTCGTGAGTGATGTTCCTGGCGTGCCGCTTGGTGCACTGCCGGCGGCGTGCAGCCAGAACCCTCTTCCACCGCGATGTCTGCCGAGCATCCATGCTACCGGGGGGGCAACGCTTCAGGAACAGGTTGGACGTCTGAGGCGAGCCCGTCGAGATGGAAGCACTGCAACGCACGCAGATAAAGAGGGTCGAATGATCCGAACAATCGACCAACCGAGCGATCCTCACAATATCGAGCCCGAGCACAGGACCTGTGCACTTCCTGGGGGGGGGGGGCGTCGGGTGGCCTCCGAACTTGAAGACAAACCTGGATTCGGAGGCTCTGCAACGCACTTCGCACCACCAAAGGCCCGCAATCCAGGGAAACATGCACCTGCCTGGCGCTGTCTTATCTGCCATCGCAGTAGATGGCTTGATGCACTTCACATCTCCATGATCCCTGAACGCAGGAAGCCTCGGCAACAGTTTAATAGCCAATTTGCAACAAGCGCAGGTCAAACGGATCCTACGGTCAGTTTCATCGAGAATGGACTGATCCATGGGGTGCGAATTAATGGCGGCTTTGGCTCCAATGTCGGCCAAGTGGTTTCCAGTCCTGCGGAAGAGCTCTTCTTCTGGCAAGTCGGGGTCTTTCGAGCTGAGGCGGGCTTTAACCATCCTGACGTCTTCTAAAGATTTAGGGGCCTCGTCGGCCCTGGCCTGGGCGACGTGCTCTGCATAGGGCTTCCTGATGTGAGGGCGCACCTGGGGCCTCGCATTATGATCCTCAACGGCATTCGCATCATCGGTATAAATTAAGGCCAGCCCCGCCAGGCACATAATCCTGCCAGTGAAAGCAGAGTGCTCTGCGGCCTGAGGGGGCTACCGAACCAGAGGATGCATTGGGAAACGTACGTCGCACACCGCCTCTGAAAGCGTTGCAGCTCCGGGCGGCGCGACAGAGCTGAGGCCTCCTCGAGTCACAGGACAGAGGGCTGCGGTCCGTGATGCGGCCGCCGATTTCGCCCAGGACGTCTTGGCCAACGATTTCCAGGCGTTCCTCTAAGGCAGAGCACTTCCACAGCTTGTGGTATAAAGTGTCACGGCACCCGCGGTCCAGAGGACACTCCTTGGGGCATTTGCACCGCTTGCTCAAAGCATAAACTCTCGTCCAGAGGGCCCCAGAATCAACCGTCCGAAGAGAACCCTTCTCATGGCGAGTGCTCTTTATGGTCCGTGACAGTATCAAAGCAGACGCGTTTGGGACAATATCCGTTTCCCCAGCGTGGTGTTCCAGTTGGCGGAGTACTGAGTTCTTTAGCAGGGGCCGCAACGTGCTCGGTTACAATGACGTTATCGCCGATTAACGCGACGAACTTTCTCGCCGTCCAGCCGAGGCGAACGAGAGAAAGCCTGAGGGCGGGCGCAGGTCCAGGCACCGAGCGCAACGTCTTTAACGGTTTGGCGAAAACAGTGTCAAAGGCGGTGCGGAGCTGCTGAAAACTACGGGTGGGTGGCGCGGACGTTCACGCGAGTGTTGAACATGTGTTAGCCCGCCTCAGAATGGGGAACATTTGAATGATCCAAGTGGGGCCCCCTTCCAGAAGCAATGCGGTAGAGAGGCAGTGGTCTCCCGCATCAGAATTCAGCACAGAGGCGAAACTACGTCTCAGCCCAAAAAGTTCACCGCCATTGATCTTGCGAGTTTCAGGCGCACAAGTAGCAGCGGAGAGGGGCCCCGCGACCCGAATGTGCTCACACTTGCGCCTCGGGGGCCTTCTAAGCTAGATCCTTTAGCGTAAGCCCAGGCGCCTGACCTCCTTGGCTTGGCCTTCCTGTCGAGCCCATTACTTCTCAGAGGCTTGCCAACGAAATCGTCAGCTTTATGGTTATGAGCAGCATTGACAACGGGCCCAGTGGGAGAGTGTCTAAGGCGAAACTAGATCTCCTGCCCGGCCGCCTTGCTGAACGTCAGAAGGCAAGCTTTGTCGTCCACGAGCGCCCCACCGATATCCTCGACGACCGCCCCCTTCAACTGCGCGCTGCCCTCGACGACGCCTGCGGCGACATTTTTGAACGCGCCGACGGCATGCAGATCCCCATCATCGACGCACGACGAATAGCTGACGCAAGGACGCCGCTGAATGCTGTCAAGGCCATCAAGCGAGCTGACGCGCATGATTGTGTTCGCAAAGGGCATCCTAACACGATTTCGCGAACCGCATGCATGGCGACCAACGCGTTGCAATCGAGCGAGAGTTGCCGAGGCGCACGGCACGCGTAGCAGGCCAGCCTAGAGATCGTTGGTGGGAAAGCATGCCGATGACACCAAGACAAGACCTGCTCAATGTGCAAGCTCTGACCGTACTTCAGGAAATCCCATAAAAGCGCGACGGCATCTGCCGAGCAGCGACGCCCCCCTTGGAAGGGGAGAGATTGCCCCCAGGCAGCGTCCGCAGTTCCCACATGCGCTTCGCAGCAGCATGCCAAGGGCGATGATGCCGCATGTCCCAGGCTTGGGCAAAAGGCCGCCTGTGACGGCCACAGAGCTCGTAAGGCCCCGTGAAGATCCCGATGGGCCTGAAGCCACCGACCGGTTTGGGCAGCAGCATCGCCACAAGGATGCGCAGCTGGGCGGGCAACATGGAGCTAACCTCCACGACGCGACAAGCTGAACCAAGCGCGACGGGGCATCGTCGGAGAGCAAGCTGAGGTGGCGGAGGTGAAAACAATCGGTGCTGACAGCCGAACCAGCCTTGCAGCTTCTGCCGATCTTCCGATTGTCGTCAATCCCATGGCACTCGAGCTCAGGGGTCGGCTTGAAGTCGCTAGGAGGGGAAGGGATCGAGAGCTCGGCTTGCCTCAGAGCCTTGAATCGGGAGTCCTCGGACGCGAGGGCGCTGAGGGGGGTCTGAAATTATATGCTCATCGTCAGCTGAAGCGCGGTGGGGGGCCTCGCGCGGGGGGCCCTGGTGATTTGGTGAGCCCTCCGAGCCCCCCTCTCAATGCCACATTTGGTCCAATGACTCCACGAGGCTCTTCCGCGAGTTTCGGCCTCGACGGCAGCGGCGGTCTGCGACAGATGTCCCCTAGCTTCAGATGCAGTCTGAGCGCCAAGTTGCACCGTGGTGACAAAGGGGCGCTCTTGCTGAAACGCAGCAGCACGCTCGCCTTGGCTTGCTGCAGCCTGGGCAGGAAGGGCAAAACGCGAAGTCTTCGCGTCTCCGAAGGCCTCGGCCCTGGTTGGGGCATGTGGTCAAAAATGATACATTCAGAGTGGAGCCGTCGGATCGCGCAGAGTTCTGGGCGTCTTGGGTCTCTCATGCCCATCTCCGCAGTCGACTTCCACACTGCGCGAGGGCCACGGCTACGGCCCCCCATGGCAGCAAGAGTATTCCAGATTTCGTAATAAAAGGGAGGGGGTCTGGACCCTCCAAGACATGCCATGTCAGACCTCCCCCGTGGGGGAACCCTCCAAAACGTCGTCCCCAGACCCCCCGGGCCCTCCAAGATAGCCTGGAAGAGACCCCCCCCGAAATGATACCCCTTCCCTTTATTGCGAAGTCTGGAGTATTGTCCGTCAGAAGACAGAGTTCTTTTTCCGCGAGATTGGCCCGGGATCCATAAAACCGAGTGGTGTTT